ATGAAAACATCTCATAATTGGATTGTAAATGGTGGAATATTACGCATTGAGTAAAGAAAACATCAGTGCACACCTCAGTCTAGAGATATTTATATCAGCCTTCAAATGTCAATATCAGCTGAACCCACCCCTCCATACACACACAGGCTCCCACACACACACACACGCTCCCACACAGTCCCGCCTTGCTTGTTTGTGATAAATGCAGCATTTGTGTCCAGGGTGTAGGCTTATTTCTGCTCAGTTGCCCGCTCTGGCTAAGCTAAGCCTTGTGTTGCTGATAATGACAGCTGTGAAAGGAGTGGGGGACTGAATGAAAACCAGTGGGGGTGGTGAGTAGCTGTGAATCCAGTCTGTGTGCCCTGCCAGGCCTATATTTACCATCCTTCTGTGTCCTGCAGTGTCACACAGGGGTGCACACTGCTCTTCCTCACATTCTGCTCTGTTTACCAGTGGAAGGGCCGATTTCTCTCCACTAGTGTGGACTGTCTCCATTTCCAAAGTGGCATTTCATGTGTTAGACAAATCTGACGCCCCCCCCCCCCCGCATGCGTTGGTATCATTTTTGTATTTGTTGTAAAACTGCTCCTCCAAACACTCCTTTTTACTTTCAGAAAATATGTGTTTCTTTCCAAGCAGACATGTTTACTTCCTGTCTTTCAAAGTTAAGACGAAGGAAAAAAGCTCCCCAAGTTTTTTGTGATAGATGATGGGCTGTTTTTGCCTTTATTCGACAGCATAGCTTAAGAGAGATGGGACATATTGATGCAGCAAAAGGGCCGAGGTCCGATTCGAAACCCACAGCCACTGCGACGTGGACTAAAGCCTCTTTACATGGGAAGCTGGTCATAACTGCTTGGCTATCTGGCGCCCCTACGTTTGTATTTTCAAATCATAGTTTTCTACAAACATATTCTGCAAACAATGCTGAAGAAATGTCATGACTCTAACCACCAGCTGAGTGCAATTTGCCGTCCTTTTGCGTTTTATTGCGTAAGCAGAGAGAAAGGGAAAGACAGAAATCAAACATTTTTGATACACGGGGCTCAATGGCGTTAACTGTAACTAAGGCTTCACGGTACGGCTCCACTGGTTACGGCGACGGATAGCGTCTCGAGCCTTTCCATTCATTTCCTATGGAGAGCCGGAGAGTCAGTCGCGCAATGCATTATGGGATCTTTGCGTCGCTATCTCGAGAAAAGGCTCAGGCGTGCTCGGCAAACAAAAATAGACCTGAAGTCTATTCTATGCAAATGAGTACAGCAGCCGCCCGGACTAGCCGCGCGTTTTTCCAATCAGGTGCATTCATTGAGACTACTTCACCAATTGCCTAACCTATAAAAAGACAAAATAAAATAATATGCCAAGAGCCATAAAACGGGCATACTCCCATCAAGCGGCGAGTTGAGTGCTCCATCGCGATCCCTAGTGTCCTCGCCTGAAGCGGTGGAGGCGTACCATTAGGGTTAGCTGACAACAACCCTGAGTCCCATGCAAGACATTTGCACTCATTTATCAACATTTGACGGACACAAAACAAGCTAAAAAAAAAAACATTTTCATGTTACGTTACACTCATGTCGTACTGTGATTCCAGTCGTAATATTATAGTCCATACTGTCAATAGGGTGTGGACAGTATGGGGCACAGCGCATTGTTCTTAACCCCAACATCATGGCTGTTAGCTTCCATTCAGTTTCTGTTTGATGAGGGATGATGGCATCATGTGCAGCAATTTGCCTTTTTTTTATTTCATCACCGTTCCAATGACCTCAATTTGCACTTGTAGGATCAAATAAGTGAATGGCCTTGTGAGATTAATAATCCTTTTCACTGTTATCGGGGGTAAAGTTATCCTAATGTGCGAGTGTGTGTGTGCAGACGTGGATGCGCATCGATGAATGTGCATCCTTTATGCAGATAGAGGCGTCGCACGTTTACACTTCAGAGAGATGTGAGCCTCAGTCACTGGGCTTGAAATCAACCAGTGTGAAGATTGTTTATGGACTGCCAAAAGTAATTAATCTCCCTTCTCTGTGAAAATTAATCGGATTAAACATTGTCGTGGCCCAGTGAATATGTCTCCCTGTAATGTCCGCACACTGAATCTCTTGCTGCTCCCATGTACCCGCAGAGCGCCAGCCCTATACGCCAGAGCCGCTTCGCTTCAGCGCGACAATGAACTGCACGATTATTCAGGGTTGTAATCACGTTGGCCTGCTCGTCTGAATGCTTGTCTGTCACGGCGGAGGGAGAGAGAGAGAGAGCACTGGCCACTTGACTAGTGTCATGTTGACCTTTGTTAGAGATGCTGAAATGCTGAGGGAGATTTGTTGATGAGCCCTTCATCTGTGTGTCTCTTTGCCGCGGGTGAAACACATGTTCACATGATGATTTGACCTTTTTAAGCAGAATTTTAGATGAGTAGCCGGTGTCCTCCGCTCATCATGGAAGTGGCTTATAAGTTAACACCCTTAAGGGGCTGACTCCAAAATATTCCCAGGTTACTTTAGCTGCATGCTTTGTGTGCCTCCACATTTTCCCAGTCCTGTCCTCTGCTGACACAAACAGACTTTCACAGCCCTATAAAGCCTACTAAATCATATTTGATACACACATTTGAGGTCATCATTTTCTTTCCTGAAAAACCTGATGAATCCAACCAGAAACATGCAGTGCATTAATTATTCACCAGTGGACAGAAGGTACTGTGTGCCTCATATGACCTTAGTATAAAGCAAGCAGCAACCTCCAGTGTTGAAAAATGAAGCCAATGCGGAAGTGCAAAATCCTGCAGTTCATCGAGTGTCCACTTGAGGCTGGAGCCCGAAAGTCACATACATACCACAGTCAAAAAAAACATTTTTTACAGCAGAAATAAACATGTTTACAACCTGGTGCGAAAAATGAAGTACTGTAAGTCTGATTAGTTAATGTCAGGGGCACACCAGTATGGAGGAAGAACTTTTTTTACAACTTTTTTATCTGTTTAGATTTTTCTGAACGATACCTGTTATCCATAGTTAGGCGCGCAGCTGACATGATTGACAGGTCGATGTGATGTAACGGTTCATCAAGAGGCTTAAAACCCGCCTCAGCTCCAGCTCTCAGCCTGTCGTTAGGTTGATTGAAAGTTAGACTGAGACAGGATTTCCATCATGGAGGCTGCTGCTGATGAGCCTCCGGAGCCCCCTGCAGGAACAGATGGGTGACGTCACTTTACAATCTATGGAGTAAAGATGGCTATCATAAATCAGTGCCACATGTGTTTTCAAAGATATTTTTGCCAAATATGAAAAAGACAAGGAATGAAAAACATTAAATTTGTAACACGAAACGTAATATGATTTTTTTTAATTATCACTTGTCCATTCCAGAAAGTAGCGTTTTCTCTTTTGCATACCAAAGTAAACTAATGAAATGCTTGAAGGCATGGCATCATTTGATATATTTAGAGGGAAAACTAAAAATATTTATAGCCTATCTTTTATTTTTTTTGACATGCAATCTATTATAACCCAATTAAATTAGTAATTATATGAGCGCAGGGGTCATTTGCTCTGAAGTTTTTTCCTAATTGATTTTCCACCCAAAACTGATTTCTTTAAAAATTAAATACAGACAAATACTGAATTTCTGGTACATTTTCAAAGAAGCAAATATGTACTAAGATGAAGATATAATCAACAACAAAGCTGTCAATGTCATAATGAAGAGTCTCTGGGGGATGTTTTTAGGAAGGTTCTAGAATAACTTAATGTTCAAAGAATTTTGATTTCCTGACAATTGTTTGAGAGTTTCGGTATCTCAGACGATATCAGATGAGATGGTAGGTTTTGAATGACAGACAGTAGTGGATGTGAGTTAAAATCATTCAGTGATGAATGTTGAATGATTTTATAACTACAAGCAACATTGTCAAAACCCAGAGAGGAGTCTTGGATTTTACAGGACGTTCTGGACCTCAGCCTCCATACACAGAGAAAATTGAAACTCTTCTAACATGGGAGATCTTATATTCGGTAAAGGGGTATTTAATTCTGAGTGAAGTCGAAGCAGTCTTCTGAAAAGAAATGAGAACATCAATTGGTAATTTCTTGGACCCACTTATAAGACCACAAACTGTCTAGAAATCTGATGACAGAGAAGAGGATGAGATGTTTTCCAAAAGAAAGGCAATATTTTTTACATTGGTATATTTTTTGTTGATTTTTATTAACTCAATTTTATCTTATTAAATTGAGCTTAATGAAAGGGTTTCAAACTTTTTAACCATATTCAACGAAACAGAAGAAAGAAAAGTCAAGTTGCAGCTGATGCTCAGTGGTTGAGTTGGTCATCCGGTTGGGTCAAAGTGCCCCTGGGCAACACATTGAACCCCAAATTGTAAAACTGATGGACAGTTTACAGAGCAGCCTCTGCCGTCAGTGTGAATGTGTAGTGACCTGTGGTGTCAAAAAGTGCTTTGGGTAGTCAAATGACTAGAAAACCTCCACACATACAAGCTCAAAGCAAAGGCTGTGGCTCAGTTGGTAGAGTCGGTCATCTCTCCGATGTCCGATGTGTCCTTGGGCAAGACACTTAACCCCAAGTTGCTCCCACTGCTTTGTTGTTTGAATGTGTATGAATGGGATTAGTTACTTCTAATGGTCACTTTACATAGCAACCTCTACCTTCAGTGTGTGAATGTGTAGGTGTGACCTGCAGTGTAAAAGTGCTTTGAGTAGTCAGGAGACTAGAAAAAAAATATACAAGCTCAAGTCCATTTACCATTCAAGTCCAAATCAATTTACCAGGTGTAAGTGGAAACAGATTACTAATTGAAGAGTGAGATGATAAAAGCAAAAAGGATCATCTCCTTCTTATCTCTCTCTATATCTTTTAACTCGTGTTGGAAGATCATACAGTATTTGTTTCCAATAGATGACGGCTATACTGGTGGAGAGAACTGGAAAGAAACTGTTTCTGAATTGATTTCTGGTTTGTGTTTTTTTCCATAGACACCAAAAGCTGACACCAACAACCGTCAGGCAGGATGTCGTACGGGTCCATAGACGGAGGCTCTTTTGGAGGTCGTAACCCATTCGGAGGTCCTACGAGGCAGGGCTACCAGCCAGTAGGTGAGGACACATGATGGTTTTTTTATGATTTCATGAAATGTTTATGTGATTACCCCTCATGCAAGGTCATATATGCAGCATTTAAATACCATAAACAAAGTGCTTAAAAAGAAACTTGTTTTTTCATAGCTTCTATTTTTCTGTGACTGACAAATTAGATTGTTTTTCATCAAATAAAACAAAGAATGTGGTTCCTTTAAAGCTGAGATTTTTTTCTTAGCTTTTCTTGCGAGACAGTTTCCTATAACAACTTTTTGAGTAATCGTGTTTCAAGTTGTCGAGGTTCCGGTTGTTATCTGAGAATGTTTTTCAGGCTTATGAACAGCCAGTATTTAAAATAAGTATTTAGTCAATGACAAATGGTTTCAGAGAGAGAAGGCTTTCCTATTGTCCTTGTACATATGAAGAAAATATTGGTGAATACAGATTATTGCTGTCAATCCATGAACATAATTAATTGGCGGAGTGGCCATCACATTTCTTGTGGGGCCCAGACCACCCAATCCACCACCTAGACTCCTAACCTGAGCCCATCCAACTCACATGCGAATGCATCTCTCATTGGCATATTTTGGTTGGAACATTATGGATGCAAACTTTGCACAGTTTTAGCAAGACGCTGCCACAACATCCAAACTTGAGGACATTTTTAGCCAGCTATTACTGCCTTAGAATTAAAGACAATGAACGGCTTACAAAGGACAACAGAAGAATCCTCATTTTCTGGCTGGCATGCATGTTCAGCATATTTTCAAGTAAAGGTTTTTTTTAAATCAGATTGGCCCATTATAATGCATAAAGTACTATATAGTACTCTATATGCTGTGTATGATTCGATTGGTTTTTAAGATGATGAATAGCAGCGCGTGACGAGAAAGACATTTCCTAACATTTCATGTGTTAATGATGTTGATCTTTTATCGGGGTATAAAGAGACTTGACTCTGTAGAGCAGTTTCTGTGTGTCACTAAGAGTACACAGAACTTTTGAGGAAGATAAACGCATCATGATCTAATAAAGTTTTATACCAGGTCATCACTTCAGTCCATAATCACCTGCAACTCTTTCCAGCTGGGACACATGTGTGCAGGTCTCCCTTTCTCTGCTGGGAGTCTGAATCAAGGTGGGGAAGTTGTGTGATTAATTTGAGTAAATAAAAAAAATCATGCATTAAAGTCATTTGATTAATCACATGCATGGACACATTAATTTTGACAGGCCTAATGCAATATGCAAATCCAATATAAAAGACATGCATTCTAAGTTCAGATGAGGACAAATGATCATGGCAGTCTGCAAGGACACTGTGGCATCTCTGTAAGATGTAGGACCTGGAACACATCTTCAATAACTGCTTATTACCCAGAGTGCCACAGACCGGAACAAGATTGAGACTTTTGCAATTGCTGCTTCAGCTGCTGGTGAAATGTAAAGGCTATCTCAGAGTAGATGTGATTATGTTTTTGGTGCAAAGGGTCGATGGGAGTGAATACTAGTGTTGTAGTCACGACCACACCAACCGAGACCAAGACATACCCGAGACCAGAGAGCTCAGAGACCGAGACAAGATCAAGACATTTAGGGGTCGAGACAGAGTCAAGACTATGAATAAATTGAAGAGTTTTTTTGTTTTTTTAGAAAGGGGTGTTTCCTTCTGATAATGATGAGGAACAATCAGTGGTGGTCTAGACTGGTCTTTATTTTAAAATCTGGAGTCCGCCCAGTCTGAGACCGAGTCCAAAGACTGAGACCGAGTACAAACGCTTTTGATTCCGAAACTAGACCAGACCGCTCTTGAGACCATGACCGATTTCAAGTACTACAAAACCAGTGATTACTCACCCAGAGCTGCACACAGAATTCCTGTTGGTGATGTGAAGTTAACATGTAAGCTTGATAATTTATGAATCAACATAGAGGAGCAAGGAACAGAGTGATTAGTAATCAATCATTTGAAGAATAAAACATGAAAATAGAAAATGTTTATAATCAACCTCTCACACATAAACAAAACATCAGCACAGCGCTCAAGTGTTACTGAAACCAGTTACATTTCATGATTGTGGCATTATACATGTTTGCATGATTTTTTCTCCCACATTCAAACTTATTAGAAGGTAATCAGGTGTTGCAGTCATTTATTATTCATAAAGAAATGAATAACTTAAGCAATCAGGCCTACATGTGCTAGAGTAAAAAAACACACACACAAATATAGCCATTACATGGAAACATGTTCAGATTTAGGCTGCACATGCACAGTCACATGACATTTTTTTTGTTTGTGCATTCATGCAAAAATCTGAATATGCCATGCACCCCTATATAACCTACAGTATGTGTATCAATCACCCATGCGTTACGCTTAGGTGTGTGTGTTTGTGCAGTATGTGTGTGTTTGCTCCTGCACAGAGGCCACAGGTCGTTATAGAGGTTAAGCAGTGTCAAAATCACTTTCATTGGATTTGATCCTCTCACTGCTTTCATTAGTACTCGTAATGGGTTTGGAGCGGGACAGAACCCCTGAGGAAAACACGGAAAAACCTGCTAGCAGCCAAAATGTGTGTGCGTGTGCATGTGTAAGAAAACAGACATGTGGAGAGAGTATGGATGGAGATGTACACTATGCATGGCAATCTAGTTTTTCATGTAATAGCCAGGACAAAGTACCATTTAAACAAATCAATGTGCAAGACTAAGGAATCAAGACATGAGGTGGAGGAGTCTTTTCTTTATTATTAATAATAATAATAATAATAATAATAATAATACATTTAATTTATTAGCGCTTTTCAAAACTCAAAGACACTGTACATTTGTTAAAAAACTGAAAGAATGGCACATTAAGGGCAGACTAACAGTCATTGCAACGTCACACACAAATCGTAAAGACAACAACTATACAGGTAAAACTACAGAAAACAGAACACACATCAGAATCAGAATCAGAATTGGGGTTTATTGCCATTAAACATTTACACATACAAGGAATTTGACTTGGTGTATTGGTGCTAAACAATTAACAAGGAAATAAAGCAGAACTAGCAACAACTTAAATAGTACAGTACAAGAAGATATTACAATATATAAAATATAATTAAAAAATGAAAAATATAAAAAATAAAAATAAAAACACAAAATGTACAAAAGGTGCAATGAAGGAGCTGTGCAGTGGACAATAACACAATCATACTTTAAAAGCTTGTTTAAAGAGGTGAGTTTTGAATGTGTGTGGGGAGTGAGTTCCAGAGGGAGGGGGCGGCTATGGAGAAGGCTCTGTCCCCCCAGGTTTCGGTGCTTGGTTCTAAGAGGGGGAGATAGGAGATTGGCTTTTGAAGAACGGAGGCTGCGTGCAGGAGTGTGAGGGTGAAGGGGGGGCCTGATGGTTTAGCCCTTTATGTGTGAGGAGAAGGATTTTGAATTGGATGCGTATATTTGTCAAAATGACGGGCTCTGCCACTGCAGTCATTTATAGGGATGTTGGCCTTCCTTTCTAAAGCCGACAATTCAACGTGTTGGCCGTTGCAATGTTGGTTTTGCGGAGCCAGTAGTGACCATGAGAGGGTGACTCTGGAGAAAATCGAGGAAGTTGTTAAATGCCAAGTTATTAAAGCTTAACTGTCTGTGCCCATGGCTTATTCATAGCTTGTGAATCAGTGAGTTTAACCCTTGTGGTTCAACCAGAATGAACTTTTGTTTGTAGTTGTAGCAGAGCACATTTATTATTTATGAGGCTGTAACGGTAAGACAGCTGAGAAATGCAGCAGACACTTGCTTGTCCATTGAAAACAAGTCTCATCACTGTAGCCTGCCGCCGGATATGAACCCACATCTGCTGTGACGCGGATTTTAGCCTCTGTACGTGGGGCGTGCGCAGAGCCGGCCCTAACCATTTTGGTGCCCTAGGCAAGATTTTTAGCCGTTGCCCCTTAAATTGCAGCCAGTTTGACCACCAAAGACAATATTCATCCACTTAAGAAAACTGGCTTACAGCTTTATATTTAACACCATTTCTTTATTCTAAAATAAAACATACTTATCTACAAACATGAATTAAATGGTTATAACTCTAAGATTTCTTATAAATAAACACAAAATAAAATAAAAATAATAATTCCTTGGTTTTCAAGAGGGTCCTCGCTCACTCTGTGAGTGCTCGGGCCCTAATAAATACAAATAACTACTGTAACAGAACAAACAATACCAAACAGTGCAGGGAGCAGAAGTGGTCACAGGCGGCCCAGGGAAAGCAGGGGATGGATTTAAATGTTTTAAAATGGCATCCGGAGAGAGATGAGCATTTGTTAAACAATCTGCATTTTTATAATATAGTGTGAACACAAAATATTATTTTTTGTTTAGAGCAGTACAGAAACGTCAGCATAGTTTTTCAGGTGAGCCCAAACGTTTTCCTAACAACCAGACCTACAGCATGCACACATATCTATACAGAGAGGACTTCAACCAGACCTACAGCATGCACACATATCTATACAGTGAGGACTTCAACCAGACCTACAGCATGCACACATATCTATACAGAGAGGACTTCAAAGAGACCTACAACATGCACACATATCTATACAGTGAGGACTTCAACCAGACCTACAACGTGCACAAATATCTATTCAGTGAGGACTTCAAGCAGACCTACAGAATGTACACATATCTATACAGTATGGACTTCTAGCACAAAATGTATTCATGCTCTTAGACAAAAGGCAAGAGCTTAAAACTATTAATGACAACAGGAGGTGGAAAATAAACACTTTAATCGACGAGGGTGAAAGCTAACTAAGTACACAAAGATGTCAATAAATATAAAAAGTAGGTTTTGTTTCTCAAACAACATTAGAACAAAAGAAGAAGTGTATTACTTACACTGGTTATTTTCTTAACATGAATAATCTTAACCTAATAAAAGTACAGTGGAAATAACTGATGTTAACTGGAGCTCGGAAACACTGACGTTACTGTCATCGATCATAACAAGCTAGCTT